CAAGCTTGAAACTACAAGTAAGCTTCAAGTGAAATTGATACATTACCTTGTGCATCTCCACCAGTTAAAGATACCACCCCTGGATGGAGGAAGAGTACTTCCAGAGAAGATGCCACATCTACCTATGAGATAGATAAGGCAAGTCAAAACGATACCACACTCCGGTACTTAGAAGTTTCGTGATTACGAGATCATTCTCCCACAATATTTCCTAATGTCATTTGTACTAAATCATTCACTTGTACTCACTAAAGGAGAGCTTGAACCTATGTACTTATGTAAACCCTTCACAATTAATGAGAACTCCTCTATTCCGTGGACGTAGCCAATCTGGGTGAACCACGTACATCTTGTGTTTGCTTTCCTATCTCTATCCATTTATATACTTATCCACACTAATGACCGGAGCAATCTAGCGAAGATCACAAAAAGCGACCGTTTTTGCAACCTAGGATCTATCTTGCAAGAGAACAGAGAATTAGATGGAGATCTCAACCATAGAATACAAGTGGATGGATGAAGGGTAAGAGTGCATTCGGCGTGTTGTGTGACCGTCGTAAGCCACTGAAGCTCAAGGGAAAATTTTATAGGACGGCAATAAAGCCAACGATGTTGTATGGCACAGAATGTTGGGCGGTGAAGCATCAATACGTACACAAAATGGGTGTAAATACAAGCTGGATGGATGAAGGGTAAGAGTGCATCCGGCGTGTTGTGTGACCGTCGTAGGCCACTGAAGCTCAAGGGAAAATTTTATAGGACGGCAATAAGGCCAGCGATGTTGTATAGCACAGAATGTTGGGCGGTGAAGCATCAATACGTACACAAAATGGGTGTAGCGGAGATGAGGATGCTTCGTGGGATGTGTGGGCACACGAGAAAGGATAAGATTGGGAATGAGGATATCCGAGGTAAAGTAGGAGTAGCCGAAATTAAAGGAAATATGAGAGAAAATCGGTTCCGGTGGTTTGGACATGTGCAAAGAAGGCCTACTGACGCTCCGGTTCGAAAATGTGACTACGGAACAGAGGTTCAGGGCCGAAGGGGTAGAGGAAGACCTAGGAAAACTTTGGAAGAGACCCTAAGAAAAGATTTGAGTACTTGGATCTAACGGAGGACATGACACAAAACCGAGCGCAATGGCGTTCTAGGATTCATATAGCCGACCCCACTTAGTGGGAAAAGGCTTTGTTGTTGTTGTTGTTGTTGTTGTTGTTGTTTTGTGCACTTTGAAATCATATAATATTGGTAGTGAATGGGACTCTAAATGGTAAGTTATTTCAACTATGAAATGGAGTTCCAAAACTGGAATTACAGAACTTGCTGCTGCCTGGCAGCCCTGTGACTCAACTTTGAACATGATTTTAATCTATCAATACTCAACACAGTTAAGTGAAATCAGATGGGTTTTGATCATGGACATGTTTGTTTCCAAAACAGATAATATTAGATCAAAAGGAACTCCCAAGGACATGGAAATCAAGAGCCAAAGTAGGCTACATGAAACATAGTTTCTCTCCGCAAAATGAACAAGTTTCCTGTAATTTAGAACCCATACTCGTTTAATCAAATTTACAATTTCAGAGCACTTCCCAAACTATCAAGGAATCATATTTAACTTCTATTTCAATGTGTTAGCTTACCTATAACATGCTTAAATCTTCCTCTTTTAGCCAAAGTCTACAAACAATTCAATAAAATTAAAGTATGTACCATTTCTTGTTCTTGTCCTGCCCTCCAAAGTCGTTCATCAATCTCCACTTAACTAAGCTCTTGAATTAATGTTACCCCACAACTCCCCATCAAGAACACCAGAAATTCAAGTTAAACACATAAATCTCAAACTTGTGGGAAAAATAAAACTTGAAATTCGGAAGATCCACTTACATATCCTGGAAGCGCATGAAGAGAGGAGTATTATTCCCTCTTGGGTCAAGACCTATCTCCGGCGAGGTTAGCCGGAATCGGCAAAAAACCCACAAAAGCCGTCGAAGCTTCTAGGCTTCAAAATATGGGCACGTTTTTTTTCCAGCATATGGGTTTTGTATCAATTTGAAGAGTGCTTCGCTACGAATACATAGGCTTCGACCGTGCGTGATTTCGTTGTCGTACGAGAAAGTTATGATTCCCTGAAATTTTTGGAGTGAAGGAGAATTAAAAGGAAAAAAAATCAGCAGCCTCCCCCTTTTTTTTTCACGCAGGAAAGAAGAAAAAAGGAAGTCCTTGGCTTCCAGAAAGTTCCACTTGAATTTACTAAAATGTCCGTAACTATACCGTTATAATCCGGACTCGCAAACGGCTTTCACTTATGCGTTTGTGGTTTCGAGATCTATCCAAAAATATAAATTCTGACCTCGAAAGGTCCACGAATTTTAGATAATTAATTTCCAAACTTCAACTTCGTAACTAGTTTAATTTAAAGTCTAAATTCAAATAAATTAATATAATTTATCTTAAAATAATATAAAGTCTCAATAATACGAATATGTAGATTATAACAGTGAAATCCAAGAACGGGGTTTCACACCACCAACCCCCACTTTTTCAATTTTTAATACAAGAATTTGAACATCCTCACTTCTACATAAAAACATCCTCCCCACCCCACTCTCATTCCACACCACTATCTCAATCTATCCTAGCTTTTTAACAAATAACACCTCAACACACTTTGTGTTTGATTCATAAAACTTCGTGTTTGTAGTAAGAACCATTCATATTATAAATTACTATAAAAAAATATTTTTTAAATCAATTAAAACGAAGCTCGTTTTGTCAATCAATTATAGCAAATAAATTGACAATTCATAATAATTTAGCTGAATCGGTCCATTTGTAGGTTGTGGACTGGTTGTTTAAAGAATTCATATGCTTCAGATTGGTTTTATCTTACTTACTAGCACCGTGACCTTCCAAACTAATAATGCACAAATAAGTACACCACCTAGAGGCTACGATGACGTGCCGGCATAGGTTAGTCCTTGTTGAGATTAATTGCATGATTGTGAGATTGGTAGTGGTAATTATTGCATAATACCTTATTATAGTGAAATCAAACTAAATAGATCTTAGACTCTTAATAGTTACCTATTAATAATCAAATAGGTTGTTTTGTCACATGTGGTCGAAAAGTCAATTTCAAAATTTAGGCTCCAACAGTGAGGGTATATTCATAGCACTCCATAATTTTGTTTTTATTTTTTTCTAGGAATTAGAAAAATGTACTCAATAGAAAATGCCTGGAAATTTCTTGAAAGAAATTGGTCATTAATTAACTTAAGAAATTTGCAATTTTGTACATAAAGCGAGTAAAGGGAGGTCCCATCCCATGCTCCCCTTTTATGACCATTGAATTTGATTATTGCACATTCACTAAGTTGAATATTGGCCAACTTGGAAAAATTCTAAGATACTTAGGGTGCATTTGTTTGGCTTCCTTAACTCTCACTGGCTTAGATTGGACTATAGTCTAGTGTTTGTTAGATACTGGGATTATGTTTAATGAGACTAAAAGGGGCCCGTGTGGACTAACAGGCTCGCTAGAAGTTCTTAACGAAAGCCCTCGAAAAGGAGGGACTAGCTAAGATCGTCTTCCTTCTTTGCTCTCTTCTGTCTCTTCCTCCTCCAACAAGACCTACATAACTGCACCACCTCCGACTGTCGTGGGTAGGGGTGATTCGGTATGGGATCCCATACCGAAACCCTTGTCCCGATTCCCAAACCGAAATTTTCGGGAATCCCAATTTCAATACCGATCCCAAACCAAATTTTTGGGAATCCCGAAATAGTTTCGGAATTTCGGGACAAATCGGGAATCCCGAAATGGTTTTGGGCTTTTGGACTAAATTTGACATATTATGCTTTTGGGCTAAAATTCAACCTTTTATATTGAAAATTTGGGCTTTTGGGCAGGCTGCCAATCTGCAGCCCAATCTGTTGTTAGACTAAAATTTGAATCTGTGCACAAATCTGTGCAATCTGAATCTGTACACAAATCTGTGCACAATAACATATGTGATCTACCTATTCAATTTCTACTACACATGCATGCAATAAAAATAAATTAAAGTAACAAATCCAAAAGCAAAAAAAATTAGTTACAAGCCAAGGTTTTAAAATAAATAAAGTAACAAACTCAAAAGCAAAAAAATTAGTTACAAGCCAAAGTTTCAAGATAATTAAGTTACAAACCAAAAGCAAAAAAAGCAAAGCTTAACGTTTAGGAAGATTGTTGGCCTCTTCGGCCCCTTCGGCCCTTTGATCTTGTTGATGCTTGTGGTTGCTCCCTTCTTGTTGGTACTTGTACTCTTCCCCTTGATGTAGATGGTTGAGTCTAACAAGGAATAAATGGACAGCAAAGATTATTTTGACAAATAAAATAACAATGCACATTAATATATCACAACCACAGTTCAGCATAGATCCAAATTCCAATCAATAAATCACATATCCAATTCAAATGCAATAACATTAACATATTCAATATGTGCAAAGTAAGAGGAAACAATTAAAGAGAATTCATATATATTCATAAAGAGAATTCATATTTATTCATATCATAAACAACACAAACATGTGAATGCAAAATGAAGATATAGTACTAACCTTAAAAAGCCTCAATTCAAACCGAGGACCGAATACACTTGTTATTACAACGGGTAATGGAGTGGAGTGGTGTTGCAGACTGTGCAGTACACTCGGATCTGATCCAAAAGAACAGATCATGTCATGCTTGAAGATCTAATCAGTTAGTCATTAGATTTATAGAAGAAAGATATATGTCTACATACATATCTTGCTGTATGTTTTGATGAATATGGTTTATTAGAAAATGATCTATTTGTTATTTCTGAACCGTCTGTTAAAAGAAATTCACATGTTAACAATGTTTTGAAGATAAGTTATCAATAAAACTGCTGCAGGACAGGGAACTGAAGAATACCTTAACCTCAGAAGCTGGATTCCCAAATTGGTAGTGCTCCTCTTTTACCCTTCAAAAATTGAATAGGAGATGGTCTTTCAAATCCCTTCTCATATATTCCCATCAGCAGTTCACGTTTCAGAAAGTAGTCCTCAAACTCATTTCCTTTTGTTGCAGTTACATCCTAAAGGAAATCATTAGTAACTAGATTAGGAAATCACAAACAACTATTGTTTTAACCAAAATCATTAACTCAAGGGGTACATGGAAACAACTCCGATGTCAAGAACTCCGAAGCATATGACTTTTATCAGTACTCCAAAATAAATACAATGCAAAACAAGTCTTCACTTACATTGAATAACCAAACCGTAGGTACAGAACCTTTAAATTACAATATCAACCAGAATCATCAAGAATCTTTGTCCAAGAAAAAGGTCCGAAGAGCTAACTTTTTAATACAAATGACTCAGATGTACTAGTTTTAGCGGTTTTACTCTAATAAAAAAATTCCCTCATATCCTAATTGGTTTTTCCATGTTTATCCTATATAAATCACCACATCTTGCAACCAAAAAATAGTTTAGTAATTAATACTAATTACTATAATCACCATTTCTGTGGATCCAATCATGGATGGATCCAGAAAAGAACTAGACCAATGCTTGTGGTCCTCGCTATGCATTTTACCCTTCAAAAATTGAAGAATCTTGTCGAGCATGCATTGCTCACCACACAAACAAGAAGAGAATAACCTCCACATATGCTATTAAACCAGAATATGAGGGAGTATTAAATCGGAATCTGAGAGAGTATTAAACCACAGCCTATTAGAGAGTATTAAACCACAACCTATTAAATCAGAATCGGATCTGTGAAACCAAACAGAGTATTCAATTCAACCACAGCCTATTAAGACAGAGTATTAAACCACAACCTACTGAACCATTAGATCAATTAAATAGAATCTGATATGTGAAACCAAACAAACCCTAAATTTACAAACCCTAAAATTACAAACCCTAACCTAGAATTCGTAAATTAAATTTCAAACCCTAAATTAATTCCCATATTTATTTACCTGTGTCTGAGACTCTGAATCTAAGAGATAGAATCGCGTGAGAGAGTCGGAGACTCCTGAGAGAGAGAATCACGAGAGAGAGTCGCGATAGAGAGAATCGTGAGAGAGAGACCTCAGACCGGTGGTGGCTGTGACTCTGTATCGTGAAGGAAGGGAGAGACGGCGAGGGATGATTCGCGTGTGGTGGTGGGTCGGTCAATGGCTGGCCAGAGTTGGATTTGAGTGAGACTGAGCTGAGAGCCTGAGACTGAGAAATGAAACCTGGAAGCCTTGACGGGGACAAACAAACAAAGCTGAAAGTGAAACCTGAAAGCCTAACAAGGAATAGATGGACGGCATAGATTATTTTGAAAAATGAAACGGTTCAAATTAATTCTAATTATAATTAAAAAATAATATATATATATAATAATTAAATTTTCGGTTCGGTATGGGAATACCGAAATATTAGAAAGGCAATCCCGATTCCCATACCAAACTTTCGGTATTTTTTTGGTTTGGTTTGGGAATTTTGGGAATTTTGGGAATTTTTTCCACCCCTAGTCGTGGGCACAAATCACCGCCAATGGTCTTTGTTCTAACCCGAATCATGGGATCTTTGTGAACCCAGTGGTGGGTGAGGAACACGACGGTTGTTAAAACCCAAATCACGGAATCCTTGTAAACCCAGTGGTGGGTGAGGAACAAGACGGCAATGAAGGAATATTGGAGGCCAAAATGCCGGCGCCGGCGACGGCAACGAAAACGGCAAAGGTCTTGGATTGGGACGACAGGGGCTTGGGATCGCCGACGATAAAGATGGGGTAAGCAACCTGAGACGCCAAATTGTGGAATTGGTTTTGATTTAATCTCAAATTGGGGAATTTAAAATTGTCGGGAGTCGATTTTGATTTGATCTGTAATTGCGGGGAGTTGGTTTTGATCTGATATGCAATTGTAGGAAGTTGGTTTTGATTTGATCTCAAAGTATGGAATTGTGTTTCGAAGAAGAGGAGGAGTTTTTAGAAAAAAGAAGGAAGAAATGAGAGAATTAAGAATAAAATATTAAGAGAGATATAGATAAATTAATATAATATTAGAATTTATTAATTATCCTGCTTTTTAGTCCGACACTACACCAAATGTTTTACTAAGTTAGTCCAGCTTAGTCTAGTCTAAGCCAATCCAGCTTAGTCCCTGAAGTTAGTCCAGTCCGAGATAATCCGGTGCAACAAACGCACCCTTATTGTATAACATACATTGTTGAACTTAAGGTTTGAATATAAATGTGTGACAAAGAATTTGAGAGAATTTAATATGTGTATGTGTATCTTCCGTTTGAATTTTGATAGTTTTTGCGCTGAAAGTGCTTGCCCAATTTCGTCTTTATATTTTTTATGGTTTTTTTTTTTTTTGGTCTAATCTTTGATGATTTTCTTAAAACGAGTGTATATTTTATTGAAAGATGCTTTTGGACAAAATTTTCTTTTAATTAAAGCATATTTAAAAGAAAATTTTAAAATAGTAGCATTATCAATTATCAAATATTTTTTTTAGGGTGAACTGCCGATTTAGTCATTGAATTATCACCCAAGTGAAAATTAGGTCCCTGAATTATTTTTTTCAAAAAAATAGGTCCCTAAACTCATTATAAACAGCCAATTTCATCCTTGCCGTTAGATTTTAAGTTTTTCCATCTAATTTTCTGTTAACTTAGCATGTGACTTGCACATGACATGTAAAAGGGTAAAATCATCATTTGGGTGAAAGGAGAGACAACGTTGCTCCATCCACAATTTCATCCTTACCCTTTTTCATATATCACCAGGACTCTTTCAAGAGAAAGGAGAGATAACGCTGCTTCGTTCCTTGGCTTCTCTTGGCTTCTCTTACGATTTTGAAACTTTTGTTGAAAAAATTCTCAAACAGAGACAAATCTTGACGAATTTTCAACGTTGGTTGAACGAAGAGATGTCTTTCCAACTCAGAGATGGTGGGGAGCCTCCACGTTACAGTAAGAGTACTTAATTTGGTTCATCAAATGAATTTCTTAATTTGAATAAAAAAATCAAGTTATGTTGTTTATTTCTATGTTTGCAGAGATTCCCTCATTGTACTAGGTTTTAGGGATTTTAATACTCTCAAATTAGGTTTTTTTTTTCTTTTTCTTTAATGTCGAATTGGGTGGTCCTGATGAATTAAATTGGTGTTTGTGTGGTCCTATTGTTTTCATACTTGAATGCGCTGGTTTTTATTCGACAAAAAAAAATTGAATTTTTTAGGTTTGCGGTTGAATTTTGGGGGGGTTTTGCTGACTTAGGGGATTTGTGGGTATTTGACTCTCCTTTTACTGACTATGCAGCTGCAACAGACTTATTCTCCCTTGAAATTCACCATGGGGGTTATTTAGTGGATGGCTTTTACTTGGGGGAAAAAGTGCATTGGAAGGACAATATTAGTAGAGATTGTATAACCATGTGGGACTTATGGGAGCTAGTAGAGTATCTTGGGTACAATAAAGAGACCACAAAGTTCTTTTATAAGAAGAAAAGGAAAGGATGGGTTCCTATTACTTGTGATGCAGATTACTTTCAATGTGCAAAATGTGTAACCAAAAGAAGCATAGTAGTGATTTACCTCACAGATAAGTCACAAGAAGTGCATAATATAGAGATTCAAGCATCATTGCAAAATGCTATAACTGATATCAATGTAGAAGATGTTATTCTGATTGAGGGTTCACATGTTGCTCAAGAACCTGGTTATGTAGACCTTGAAGGAGAGTATGTCACAGCCCGTCCTGGAGGTACTTTGACGGGAATGTGAAATGACTATATTACCCTTGATGGGTACTAAGGTACGTTGTATGTGGCATTATTATGGCTCAAATATTAGTTAAGTTTGGAAGGGATAATTATTGAATAAGTTGGTCTATAAAAAGATTGATTTTTGTTAAATTGAGTTGGGATTATTTGGATGGTGGAGGTTACTTTGGACCTAAAAAAAAACTTACTCTCTCTCTCTCTCCTCATCCCGTAGCTTTCCTTCTCCTTCCTCTCTCTCTCTCTCTCTTCACACACCCAAAACGTACGGCACACCCCAAATCCTCCAAAACTCGACGGATCAACGAACTTAAAGCCACTATTGGACTCCTGAGGACACCACGAGCACGTTGATACCATTTCCAGGTAACCTTTCCTTCGGAAACCCTAGTTTTTAAACTCCCCGTGAAGGTGCACTGTTCATGCACACGTAAATCTTTATGTTCTTGGGAATTTGAAGCTTGTAGGAAGCTTGGTGAGGTCCTAAGGAAGCTCGGAGTGCTTCGTTTGGAAGAATTGGACGTCGGGATCACCTAGTTCGAGTTTGGCCGGTTTTCTTGGATTTTTGGAAGGTACGATCCCGTGATTTTTAGTGCTTAAAACTAGTTCAACGTGATAGTACTCACTTAGGGCTTCAATTTGGTGTAAAGTGCGAGAAAAATGGACGAAAAACGAGTGAGAATAGTGAATTAGAAATTTTCCCAGTTTTCCGGTGATCGGAGTCTGGCGAGGGTAGGTCGGAGAAGAAGGGGGAATATTCCGTTAGTTTTAACGGAATATTCCTAACGGCAGTAACGGTATCCGTCGGTTTTAACGGAATATTCCTAACGGCGTCAACTAACGCCGTCAGCATGCCTTGCACGTGGCCGCGCGTGGGGGGCGCGTAGACCAGTGCCTAATTCGGCGCGTGGGGGCGCGTGAGACCTCGAAAAATTATTTTAAAAATATTGCGATGCTCGTGAGGTTGTGTAGATCGCGTTGGTGTATTCATTTGTCAAAATTGAGCATCGTATGAGGAATTAATTACCTAGTTTTGTTTATGCGCTTTAATTGACATTTTTATAGTTGCTTCGCATATAGGTGAGACGTATCCCAAGGACAAACGCATCCAGGGACGTCACGGGGGTTACGACCCGTCGACTTATCAGTGAGTGGGCAGTTTTGATTTCGTATTTACCTATATACATTTATTTTCCCAGAAAATACGTGTTTATATGAATATATGAATTAATTGCTATGCATGAAATTATTGAGATATCTAGCTTGAGTATTGATGCATATATATGTGAATTGAAGTGGTGGACGCCCAGGTGAGTTATTGATTTGCCAGCTGAGTTATTTATATTGAATTGCACTGAAAGCTCATGACCTGCACCTAGGTGATAGTGCTTATATTGTTATTCACCACACCGCACGCTCGTCTTGGATCCAAGTAGGTGGATGTCGTACAGACCATGTGAGGGTTCCGACATGCCAGTCGTACAGACCATTAGAGTTGTTCCGACTGGTGGGTGACCTTAGATATGCGCGCTGATAATTGATGTGAGAAGCACTAGAGCGTATTTATACACCTGTCATCGTACAGACTACCTTATGTAGTTCCGAGTGACGTGCAGAGTTAGACCGTACAGGTCACCGAGGTGACTCCGGTCGGATGGGATGTTGAGCTTTAGAATCAGCCGTACAGGACCATTGTAGGGTCTCCGGTTGACTTATTATTCGCCTGATTGATATTGATACATTCTGATTATATGTTGGGCATGGCTTATCATTTCTGAGATATTATGATGATGACTATGTGTTGAGTTATGAGATTGCGTATATATATATATATATATATATATATATGTTTATATACTATTTTTCTGGGAAAGTATACAGGTTTTTACGGCGAGGGGATAGAATTATTTTTAATGAACTGTTTTGGGAAAAACTATTCGTTTTTACTGACCCACTCATTTTGTTTTGCGTCCCTCCAAGTTCTAGTTTTGCGGTTGGTGGCTCTCGAGGTTTTATTCCGGCTTTCTGACAGACTTTCGACATGTAGGACTCACCTGAGGGTGATGTATTTTATTTTAGTCCTACTCGACTGCATTTAACCTATGCTCTGAACTTATGTGTTTACGGTATAACTCGTCCGGTTATGTTCGTAGGTTGATATGTTTGAGTTTGGTTTGAATTCCTGTTTATTTTTGTGGTTGTTCCGCTTCCGTGTCGCCCTATGGTTACGTCACGCCCACGTGACGGCCAGCACACCTGGATCCTCCGGATCGGGGTGTGTCAGAGTATGCTGTAGATGATGAGTGTGATGATAATAATGGTTGGGTTTGATGGCTGCCACATCAAGGGAAACCATCCAGGTCAACTTCTTAGTGCTATGGGATTGATGCTAATAATGGCATGCTCCCAATAGCATTTGGTATAGTTGAAATTGAGAATAAAGAGATCTGG